TTTTGGTTAAACTTGTCGTTCAGAAGACCTCTGAAGTACTCTTGTCACTTCCTTCGGACTTCGGCTCTCTTTCTTAGGATAGCGCCCTTGCTTCTCTTTACGCTTCTCACCATCCTAATATCTTGAGTAGCCCGATGGCATGCTTTAGCCTGCCTTGAGACAAGATTGCTTTGTTTCTGCTTTCAAAATTCTCGTACAAGACGTCCATCTCCGCATTCTTTTCCTTGGCTACGGCAGCCTTAGCGAGCCTTTGCAACTCTTGTAGGTAGCGAGTCCTTGAAGCACTTCTTCTCAGGCAGGTGAGGTCTTCTGCCAGCGCTTGCATGCTGCCTTCTTCCTCTTCACGACTCGCTGGACCTCCTCCTTCCAAAACCATACTGCCCTGTCTCCACTGAATCCACCTCGCGTTTCGCTCAACACCTCCTCGACGGATCGTAGGATGATCTCGACTGCATTGCCCAAAGTCCGCTACACTGGTTCCTCGGGATCTGGGAGACCAACCTCCATTATACTTCGCTTGAGCTCGCTTTTCTCTGCTCGGTGCGACTTCCACCACCGGATTCTCCTCTCACTTACCCTTGTCTTCTTGGTGAGGTCTACTACAATGTCTGCCATGAAGGGGCTGTGCCTAATATTTGCCGGGAAGAACTTTGATATCTTCCACAGTTTTGAGAAATAATCTTCTTACCAGCACATGACCGAATTCCGTCTGTCTCCCTCCACTGCTGTAGGTTACCGCGTCCGAGTCTGTCTTCTCGCAATGAGCGTGCTGCGGATTGCCAGGTCGTGGGCCGTAGCCACGTCTAGGACCCTCTTTCCTTCGGAGTTTCTCACTCCTATTCCTCTGCCTCTGTGCGCCCTTTCTAGGCCTCTTCTGTGACTGCTTACGTGACCATTCAGATCACCTGCTATGGTGAGGAAGTCACCTTCCGGGAGCGATCTGCCTGCATCGTCAAGGCTGAGAGAGAAGTAGTCCTTGTCACTTTTGAAGCATCCGGCTCGCGGTGCGTACACGGATAGTATGGTCCGGTAGCTCTCGTATCTATCCTCACAGCCATGATCCGATCGCAGATCCTGTTCACAGCGGAGACATGGTCTTTGAAAGACTCAGCTACCGCTATGGCCACACAGTTCCGCTTGGTATCTTCTCTACTGTGGAAGAGCTTGACAGCTTCCCCGATTTCCCTGGCCTTAGCACCTTTTCATCGCGTCTCCTGAAGGCATAGGAATTGGAAATCCCTGCGCGTCATCAGATCAGCAACCTCTCGGGACTTCCCAGTTAGCGACCCTACATTTAGAGTCCCTATTCGAACTAGCTTCTTTGGCCGTAGCCGTTCCTTCCTTGGCAGCCCTCGCATACTGACCACAGAACTCGGGACGAAGGTTCTGCGCGCCACTTCCGGGTAACGTCCTAGCATTAATACTAATTATTAATTTTGCGACTTCTGAACATAGTTGGTGTGACAGGGGTCTTCATCAGCCGACCTGTCAACCTGGGCTACGCTGGTACTGGGACCACTTTAGCAATTTTTGCAGGGCATGGTTTGAAGCCTCGGCAGAGTTCGATTCGCGGTTTTCTAGAGGTGCAGACATGAGTCTACACTCTTAACCACTCGGCCATCCCTGCACTTACATGAACGTGAAGGTAAGAAAACTAACAGAAGTAAAAGCATGACTATTCGAGTGGCAGGATATGTATATTATTCATTTCAAACTACCCCAACCTTGCAATTTGCAAAGTAAGCACGTTCTGCCAGGCACCTCCATAGTCGGCGCCAGATGCCAGCGCCAAGTTCCAACACATTGATGAACTACAGTTGCAGTGAGCGGGATTCGCCCAGAAGGATTTTGAAAATACTTCAGCGAAATTGCTTACCTATTATTTATTTATTTAGCTGATGCACGCATAGGTGTGCTATATCATAGACATTAGGATACCGCTTGTGCAAATGGAGTTTGACCGACCTCAACTAGTAAGGGAAAGGGAGTTACTATGCAACAAGAGAAAAATAAATAATTTCTGTCCATTCGAAGAAGTTGTTGAGCAGATCAACGTGTTCACCACTGATGACTGGCGCTGATAGGCGGATGGCGCTAGGGATAACGCCACTCCTAGACGAGCTCGGAGCATACGTACGGAATCCGAAACTGAATTTTCGGATGTTAGATATTCCCTACCCCTAACAATTCAGTTTCGGACCCGCCTTTAAATTCAATCCAGGTCAACCATCTGAACACAACTAAGTAGAGCTTAGTCGGAAGAAAGAAGGTTAGTGGATACTCGCAATTATGCACGTAGAGGTCCCTTCCCAAGCTGTTAAGGTCAATCTGTCAAAATACAATAGCAGGATCCACAGGATTAGCAATTGTGAAAGGAACTCAGAAAGAAGAGGAAAAAAACAAACAGAAACAAACAGAAATGTAAAAATCTACTATCGCTGTCTTCTCATCTACGGGTCGGCTGAAGGTTTGAGCGCAAGAGGGGAACGTTTCGAGTAAGCATCCGGTTACTGAAAAAAATCTTGAAGCATATTAGAAGTTTTGAATGCCAAGAAGGACTTCCCTCAAATTCCTCTTGAAAATGCTGACATTTCGAGCCCTTTGAATTTCTTTCCGTTGGCAGCATCTAAAGCCACTTCGCTCCCCGAAAAATTAGGGAGCTGGAAACCTTGTTCCGATGTTTTCTAGCAAGCTTGGGGCATGTTAGAGAGAACACATTGGTGCGCCCACGGGAAGGCCGGAACACCCAGTAAGTGCTTGGCTTCAGCTTCAAATTGCCTTTGAGCAATTTGAAACAGAAGACAATGTCATTGAAAATACGTCTATATAGCAGGGTCTTGAGTTTGAAGCGCTGTAGACGTTCATATTCTGGCATACAAGACGGGTAATCTGAATTTGGGTAGCACCGATACATCAGTATTTTCGTGAAGGTTTGTTGAACCTTCTCGATTCTAGCTTGGAGTTTTCTGGTGTACGGACTCCAAACTTGTGATCCATATTCCAGTATCGGGATTACATAGGTCTTATAAAGTTTTAGGAAAAGTGACACGTCGTTATAACGAATGTTTCTGAAAGTGGTAGAAAGGGCTCTGAAAGTTTTTTGCACAATTCCATTAAGATGAGGCTCGAAATCTAGTTCAGTGTTGACTAAGAATCCAAGGTCACGGACGTCATCAGATACGCGGACTACTTCACTGAAAGTGTAAGGAGACCGATGAGCCTCCCCAATGTGGAGCACCACTGTTTTCTCAAGGTTGACAGGTATTCCCCAGGTCGTGGCCCAATCCATCATGTTGATAATGGATTGAGGTAGGGCCTGGTGAATACTGTCCTTGGTATCACCGTTATGAACTCGTCATAAACGCCATATACCTTTATATCATCTGCATAAACGCGAACTTTAACCGAAGGATGTAGGCAAATCGTAGGTGTACGCTAAAAACAAGATTGGGGACAGCACACCACCTTGCGGAACACCGCTATGCATAAGTAGCGTTTCGAAAAGGCATTTCCAACTATTACGCACATGTGCCTATTGCTTAGGTAGGAGCGTATCCAGTTGAGGATGTTACCACTTACACCCAGCTGACATAATCTGAGCAAAAGTTTACCGATGTTCACTCTATCAAAAGCTTTGGACAAATCAAAGTAGATTACATCAACACCTTGACCTTTGTTCATGGCTAAACTCCAGTCAAAGACGCAGTCTACCATCAAAGTACTTGTGGAAGCACCCGCTATGAAACCATGTTGTTCCTGTGGGATTAACATGTTCCTGCTGAGGTGCGTTGCAAGTTTGTCACGTATAAGTTTTTCTAAAACTTTAGCAGTAGGTGAGGTTATACTGATAGTACGAAAAGATGACACCTTGTCCGTTTTTGGAACTTTCGGGATTGCAGTTATGATAGACTCCTTCCAGATACAAGGGACCTCAGAAAACATAAGTGATGCATTCAATATCATACAGATGGGTTTATACAGAGAACGAGCGCATTTTTTCAGCACAATCTGAGGAATACCATCATAAGGAGAGGAGCAAGAAGTCTTGAGTAACTTCAGCAACTTACACACTTCTTCAGGGGTAACAGTGATGTCAGAGAGAAGATTTGGCATGCGACTGTTCTCAACGACTTCCACTGGGCTAGCAGAGGGCGTAGTATAAACGGACGCAAAGAAACTTGCAAGCGCCTCAGCTTTCTGAACATCAGTTATGAATAGATCACCGTCATTTTTCAGAAGTGGTACATTCAGTTGAGGTCTCATTTTACTTCTGATGAGTGCAAAAAGAGCTTTCTTATCTGCGCTGGTATAGATGCGTTTTTCTTTGGAGGCAAGAAATCTTCGTATGTGATAACCTATTATCATAACTCCTCACTTTGCTCAGACTTCTATTACTGTAATCTAAATGAGTTAAACACATCTATTGATGTAATCCAAGAGTTTTAAACAATATTGAACACTGAATTGGAAACATTCTATTGCATCAGGGTTTTGCATATTCAGAGCCCAAAATAAACGGATGAGAAGTGACGCGATCGCGCTCACAAAATGCTGCAGGTCCCACGCGGCCAAAAACCCAAAACGCGCGATGTTGTCAACGCGTTAAAGGCAGAGCGCGTGTTAGTATTAGCCCTCAATCCCGCAACACTTCTTCTTCGAGGCAAGTTTTTTAGGGAGTATTATACTTCATAGAGGATTATGATCAGCGTAAGCAATTGTACTTTTGGGTTGCCCAAAACTGTGAAGAATTGCCGTTTGAAATATTGATAAGAAGGCTTATCCAATACGCCAGTAAGGGCCCGAGAAATTCAACTCCATCACTCCAGTATAAGCCGCATAGGCTGCTTCGGCAACTGTGGCCCGCGCAAATGCTTTTCTCATTGCTGCTGCAATACTTCTTGTTTTTGCCTTGTTCTACTTCTACACTGACTTGCTAGACGCATCATGTTCGAAAGAAACGGGGAATTCAATAAGCTTTGAATGCTAAAATGTCTTCTCACCAGCCGAACAAGAAACTCAGTGAAATAGCGTCGCAAATTCAGTGTATAAGATTGGAGAAGGAACGAGAACAGACTTTGCGATGGATAAAACTGAAAAATGAAGCATTGAAGGGTTTTCTTCCGTGACATAGGTATGAAATAACCATGACCGCAAAAAACATTTCCCTGGCGTTTCCCTCATAAAAACTACCTCTTAAGAGCAGTTCTCATAAGTTTTTAAGTCTCAGCCTTCCTTCCTGGTAGCAACTTACTTTTCCCTTCAATTCACTCTACCTAATCTTTGCTATTGCTCATTTGCGATTTCGACATGAAATTCGGTATTTCCTGGAAAATCAGCTGGGAACACGAGGGTAATTTTGAGATGGAGGGGCATGAGCCATCACTGGATCAAAAACAAAAAGGTTTCCGAACTTCTAACTGCTACTCTAGCCCCATCATGATGCTACCATATCACCTTTCTGCAGGACTATGGGAAACCATGGGAATGCCGTATCAGAATTCCGTAGCTTTCGAGAGATTTCGGAAAAGTCATTTTTGATCCGGATTATCAACCTCCCCTTCTTTCAGTTTGCTCGACAGCAAAAGAAGCAGAAGAAGTTCTTTGTGCTGAACATATGTATACAGGGGGGGGGGCAAAAAAAAAGAGACACTTCCCTCCACATTCAAAACGCAATTAATCACAAATAGCGAAACCCAAATAAAATGAGCCCGAATGAATATTAAAGAGCACATTCGAGTCTATCAAAAATTTACATGACAGCCCTCTACCCTGACGACATCAGAAGATTTTCACGGAAACATTATCCACGGTACGAGCTCAACGAGGTCGTCAAGGTACCATAAACCATTACGACGTCCCTGAAACGCTGGTCAAAAGCGGCCTTGCACAGTCACAGCTATTGTCTAAGGAAAGTTATTCACCGCTTAACCGATCGAAGAAATTATGTTGCAGCTTCAGGCCGCAGCGACTAAAGCCTCGTTGAGCTTGACGGCGACGGCAAATGACGTCATATTCTAAAGTCCGTGAGGGGAGTGAAGGAGAGGCTGCTTCTGCTTATGATGGGAGACCAGAGGAATATTCTGCCGTAAAACATTCATTAACAACGGCATCCTGTGCGAAGAAAAATCTGATGATGTGCGCCGTGGGTAAAGTGACTCTTTTTTGGACCCCTGTAGAGCGGGCCAGAGCCTTCCATAGAGATTGGACACCTTTGCTGGACTTTTTTTCCAAATGAATTGGCAAGCGTTGTCGAGATAAAGTGAACTTGTCATGCTTGATTTCCGCAAGCCCATCCGTTTCCTTAGACTGTTGTTTCGTGATAACAAATGAGTTCGTAGGTGAGAACTTTCAGTGGACGGAATTTACTGCTTTTGCAACTGTTGAAGTCGCTTCCCAGGTTGCACTGCTGGAATCGGAGTCGAAACTCTTCTTCTACGCATCCGAGCACTGGTGCATCAGGGTGTGTCTAACAGGTTGACGACGATGTCGGTCAACGGTGACCGACAGCTTGTAAGCAAGGAAACTCAAATGAAACTGCCTAGTTCTCTATTTAAACAATTACTTCAGGGTCCTATGGTACTACACTCGACCCTGATCTTTCCAGTTGTAAGAATTTTTTTCTTGTATTAATTATCAACTGCAAAAATGTGTTGCCAATTGAATTACAGCCAAAAATTTCCTACAATCAGCAAGGCGAAAACGACATTGAGGATGTTCGAAGCACACTATCAACGTCGCCATAGAAGTGAAATTTACTGATACGGCGAAGTTCCTGTTGCATCGCATCTTCTATATGAGCACAAACGATGTTTGTGAATTCATTAGATGGTCTATGGACGTGAGCGTTACATTTCCTGGGTTAGAATCTGACATTGCTACCGTACTATATTTAGTCGGCTAAGTGTGTCTGTGGTGGGTGTGGGTTTGACCAAAAATTCGTTGCATGAGTAGTAACCGTGCGTTCGCAATGTTTGAATGAGGGGGTTGCATTTTTGATTATGGGAAGGGGATCGCATTGAGGGATTATGTGAATGAGTGGGATTAGTGATTAGAGGAAATGGCGAGGCTATTTAGATTTGTTTTGAGGATGGAAGTGGCGTTGGAGCAGCGTGGGATTGGAAGGTATACTAGATAAAAGTAGAGATTGCCGGTTCATTGACCCCCTCCCCCTCCGCTCAACGGTCGTTTTGGAGGAAAAGTGGGCGTGGGTGGTGGTGGTATTGGGGGAGCCTCCTAAGCAGGGTCAACCTGCGTTGCGCAAAGAACAACGAGGGAGTCGTATTCGACAGACCGAAAAGGGAGGGGTTCGTATCCACAAACGGGCTGCAAGACGCTTGAGAAGTGCAGTATCCGGGAGTGCACTTTCAGCCTCTAATGTTCTCCAGGAGCTCCGCACGCTGTAGGAGAGTCGCACAGACATCTCCATGGAGCATTAAAGCATGCAGAGCACTATAAGTCTCACCATCAGCTATTATCCTTAATCGACGCTATCCGGATGGCGCTTTTACTCCGCGGCATAGATCAAGAGTACAATAGACAACGCCAAAAACTTTGTTACAGTGTAATGCAAAAAACATGGCTATCTTCGATGATGAACATTCCTGAAATCCGAGGAGAACAAAGTTTAGAGCAGTTCATGGAAAGTGAAACAAGACATATAACAGCACAATACAACTCAATTCACAATTCTGCCCACAGATAGGTGCACGGCGTATACTCGAGCAGGCGTTTTCCATAAAAACGCCTCCTCTGTGAGCGGGTGTAAGCAAGCAAACTTTCTGAAGAGAGTTTTGATGCTTTCAAGTAAAGTCTAAGCGAAACAAAGTGTAGCGAATTTGCCGAATTGAGTTCTATAGACGCCGTAGGAAAATTGAGGCAGAAGAAGGAATTTCAGGAAAATTTCACAGTTGTCATGAAGTACTCTTCAAGTAGATTCCAACGATTCTTACCGCTTCTCATCACATCAACTACAAAGGAAGTTATGGGCCTTTGACTGCATAGTCGCGGTCCATTAAAAAGGCTTGAAAAAAATCAAGGTGGAATTGACGGAACAACGGGACGATTTTTTGAGCGAGTGATTATTTAAAGAAGTTTTAGCACTTATTCGAAAGCTCTAATCCTCTATTTTCTAATTAGCCTTAGACATCTGCAAAATGTTGAGTATGAAGAAAGTTATTAACGTTTGAATGTCGAAAACTCGCGCCTTCTCAAAAATCGGACCCCAAACCGCCCATAAACGGAACAACGGGACTATTTTTCGAAAAAATGATCGCTGGAAAATTTTCAGATGCTTGTTCTGAAGCTCAAATCTTCTAGTTTCTAATTAGCCTCAGACATTTGCAAAAAGTTGATTATGAACAAAGTTATGAGTGTTTGAATGTCAAAAACTCGCGTGTGCACAGAAAACGGAACAACGGGACGATTTTTCGAAATACTGAACATCCACAACATTTCAAATACCCCTCAGGAAGAAAACTATTTATATTTTTAAAATTTTGGTGCCCGATTTCATGAAACAGCTTCTGAAAGAAAATATAACCTTCTGAATGGAGGGGTTTGGATTGCAATGTAATTGCTACAAGGTTTAGTTTTTCAGATTATAAGGTAAGGAAAGTTGAGAGATCAAAAAAAAACTTGGTGGGTTTCTGAAAGTAGAAATCTTTGCGATTAAAATGATGTATTGGTTTACGCAAAAATTTGGAAATTCCTTCTATTTAATGAATAAAACTTCATCTGCCTCGATTTCCTCCTCTGAGCGAGACAGAGCGCGCGGATTGACCACGGTCCGCCACTTCTCCATGTTGGTGACTGCCATCATTGATGAGCATTGATGAGCATTATGTGAAAGACATGATAGTTATTGTGGGGGGTCGTACCGATACCCCCCGAAAAGGAAGGGGGTCGTAAAAATTTGGGAATTTGCGCAACGCTGGGTTGACCCTGCTCCTGAGTCTTGGGTTGCAGGGTTGGATCCAGTCTCCCTAAAGGAAGGGAATAGCGAAATTTCGGACAAAGTGCGAACGTCACGGTTGATGCTGACTACAGTGGGCGACGTTCTTCTATAAGTTATGAGGAGTGGGAGAGAAGACAGTGATACCGATCAACATCGACAAGAGCTGATAAGAGATGTCAAAAGCGAGTGCCACCAGTTTCGATCATGCTGACACTAGAGCGCCCACACTTGCAAGTGACGTAAGTAGGTAAGAGTTCATACATGCTAGGTAACCGAAAGTTATAATAACTGATAAAGACTGATAAGGTGCGCAAGAGCCGCCGGTTCCGTTACTCTGTCTGCGTTTACATTAGATCTTTCTTACTCACGATTGCCTTGTAGTGCGGGACGGGACATTGTTGGTGGATGATTTGAAGTGATAACTACTGATAAGGTCTGATGAAGGGAGTAATAATGCAAGTGTTACGAAATTCATTGCGTACGACCTAGCAGCGATGAGATGCTGTCTTTCAGATATGATGTGGAGAGTTGGAAGGGAACATGTTTCGTGGAGGATAGAAAGTGGTAAGAACTTGTAAGAAGTGATGGGCGCTAGAACGCAGTGTCACTACATTCATAGCGCGCGGCTCAACAACGATGAAGCTGTCTCTAGATATGAGATAGGGCCTAGGACGTGAGCGTATTGGGCGGCTGACAAAAAGTAACAACAATGATAATAGCAGGCAAGAGCGAACAGCTTGAGAACGGAAGCACCGAAGTTGATATCTAAATAAAGGAGCTATAAGGAAAAAGTTCGAATTCATTCGCGATATCGTCGTCAGGGGCGGAAGTGGTGTAGTGACAAGTGGCGCGCTTCCCAAGCGAGCGGTCCGAGGATCAAAACCTGGATCGTGAGTCGCCCGGGCCAACCAAGCCTTCCATCCCTACGGTGTCGGTGAATTGGTACCAGACTTGTCTGGAAGGATAAAAACAGTGACTTGTACATTGGCTGGCCCCCGCAAGCCATAGCATAGGCCACATCGCATTTAAACGCCACTACGAATGTACAAATGGAAGTAGAATGCGTGCCGCATCCCAAAAAGGGATTGATCAATGGCAAATGCTTTATCCTTTTATCCTTTTATCGTCGTCAGCATCGAGTTCATCGAAATTCTTTGACGGCTTACCTACCCGAGCTTCTTAAAATAACCGGTGTTTTTGAAAATGCGTGAGCAATGTGATTCTCTTTCAGTGTCACTGGCATAAGAAGTTATTCAACCGCTAAATCATCTCACCACACGACGCATGAAGGTTGTTTATGAAGATTTGACGAATTACGGAAAGGTTTTATCGGATGTTCATAATGTGATGAATGACATTTACAACCAAGTATGCGTGCTAGTTATGCAAAGCTCATTGGCCTAGAAAGTGTTAATTTTCGAAAAGTGATGGATGCTTATGGGCGTTGGAGAGCTACGAGAAATGACTACTTTATCACCAGCTTTCCCTGATGGTGGATATGCTTGGTTTCACCGAAACCTAATTTGATGGTAGTTAACAGATCCAAACCGGTGGATGAATGGTGGCATGAGATTAACAAAAGCGAAATGAAACAACTCACCGATATCAGACCAGTTCTCGAGTCGTTCCTTGGAATTAGCCTAGGGACAATTCTATGAAGCACCGTTCTGTTTTGATTAAAATACGCAAGCAACCACGTCAAATCAAATTTCGCATTGAATTGAGCTGCGTCGAATGTTTCTTCACTCAGCATTGGAAAATCACCGAACTCCTGAGAAACAAAGAACTACCCTTGATGAAAACTTTTGGAAAAATATTTGCAGCCTCGGCCTTTTACTCTCATCTGTGCGACCATTTGTTTCTCCAGCAGCTGCCGAGACCTCTCTGCATGAAATTTTCGAGTGCCACTGTGATTATTCGTACTCACGAAGTCAAGCTCGCGAAATGGATTCTTATGCAGAAAAATATTATAGGGTACCACCGCAGTCACGACATCACGTTAGAATCAAGCCTCAACACTGGTTCCAAGCACAGCGTTGTTGGTTTTATTCCGCCTCTCTACCAAACCCTTCCCAGTTGCCATTACAACTTCTGTGAATGGACGAAATGAGCTCAGTGATTGTTTATGTCGAAATCGAATTGAAGTAACACCTCTATATTGGCTCTCGTCGCTACACACTGGGGAAATAGCAGGATTTCAATTGTAGCAGTGAATGACAAGTGGAGAGAATAGATCATTCAAACAAATCCCCTTGACATCTGCTCGTCTACCGCAATTAAAGTTAAGGCCTCAATGCCTGACCTGCTAATGTGACATCACTTTCCTGTACTCTTATTAGACAATGGATTGGACCCATTTTAATACCGTTTTCTGTAACCTCATTCCACAATGCTTAAATCGAGTTGAATTTACACATTATCAACAGAAATATCAAGTGACTGGTTATTTTCGTTTTAGCTAGTTGTGGGTCAGCTGCATTCAGCGTTTTGCACCAAAAGAGATACTTTGATTTCGGGAGCATAGCGTAATCCCTTGGAACATTCTTGAATGCGCAATACGCAAATTTACGGTATTCTTCGCGGAAAATGGCTCTGGCAAGCCAGCCTGCTTCTGTTGAGAATCATCTTTGTGATCCTTCAGATGTAATTCAAATCTTTGTTCAGTTCTATTACTTTTCTGGTGAATGTTCTGTTCAGATCAAGGCTTCGCAACACAGAGCACCCCGCTTCTGTCAGTCTTCACCGTTATTTTGCCGTTTTAATGGTTTTGGAATAGAATGCCTCCCCTACAGTAAGAAGACCGTGGCCTATTACAGATGCGTCACCAACGCTCTGTACAATGTGAAATGAAATGTTTTGGCTGAAGAATATCTCACTTTCTCAATATCCTCACTCTCAAAAGTGGAAGTTGCTCTAATTCAAAAGAAGGGTCCTCCTCCTATAACTTTCATTTCAGGTGATGGAGATATGTGGAAACCCACTCACTGTTTCGCCTTGCTTTCAAATATGTGTATTAAAATGTGTTATGAACAGGATTAACCCATTCGCGACAATGTCAGCCGCCGGTGGCTGACATTGCGCATTCGCCTCTGCCGGTGCTGGTCCGAACGGGCAGTCTTCGAAAATCCCGCCCGGTCGCGAGTGGGTTAAATTATCACCTCAACATAAGTTTAGCGTGGGATGTGTTTCTATGGCGAAAATGTAGTTTGGGGAGGGGGCACCCTATCTAATCGAAGTGAAGCGGAAAGACACTCATATCTAATCAAAGTAGAGTTGCGGAAAGACGCTCATATCTTATAGTATCTTTATCTGAGATCGTAGCCTACCACAAGTATAGGTCACACTTGTCACTCATGTCATATTGTTCTATGACGGAATGGCTGCTACCTTGCTTACTCCTCACTTTCATTGAGATGTTGTGTGGTCGCCGTGAATGCCTTCTAATAAAGGGCCGCTCTGGTACAAGATTTCGTACAGATCCCGGATTGATATCAAATCGTTCACTTAAAGCCTCTGATTGTTAAAGGCAAAAGTCGGGCTCAATAGGGGGGTGTTATGGCGACAGAAACCGAGTATAGAGATGCGAAGTAGAACGACAGTGGAGAAAAAACTGAGAAAAACCTTCGACAAGGCCGTTAACAAAACTCTCTTTCACATTAGCAGTGAAGGAGGCCGCATTGGGGAAAGAGGCACGTACAAACAAGTTTTCTGGAGATGTCAGTCGTTCTATCGGTTGATACGGCAATCAAACTAGCTGATTTCACACGTTATGCCAGCCTCTCGCACCACGTCCGGAGGTGGGCGGTCGGAGCGCCGCCCGGCGGCGAAAGCGCTTAAGGAAGCAGTCACGATAATTTTCATGGCAACGATAAGGAAGGCTATGTATTGGAGTGGATAGAGGTCCTGCCCAATGTTAGAACACGTAAAGTTTCAGTGGCAGTGGCCCCTTATCAATGAAGTGATAAGGAGCCGAAATTCACTCAAGTTCAGCAAAGCACAAGACTTATCGATGTGGAAAGGGGTGCGATAAGAGCGTGCTAGATATGATACCGTTATCGTTATCGTTCCGTTTTCATTCTGGAGTGCACCTCTTATCAAGCAGCCGCACCTTCTTATCTCATCGTATCATATCTTCGATGGGCTTACACTCGTCCAACAATTACTGCCTCACACCTTATCGATGATAACGCGAGGGTAGCAAATCCAGCGTGGAAGCCAGCGTGACTGCTTCCTTTAATACGTGCCCTGGAGCCTTATTACGGCGCCGTTTGGGATTCTGAGCATGGCAACGTCTCTGTGGGTGCGCAGCCATGCACAAAGACGACAAAAGGGATTGGTTTGGTCCATCAAGCCTGACTCGTGCCTTTAGTTAGATATAACTGTTCCCACTCCGATTGGATACTGCCACATAGATTAGATAATATGAGTGGCCCCCTCAAACCACATTTTCACCGTTTCTATCTAAGAGTGTAAAAAGTTGTATTCAGCACTTCTTCACGCGTTTGAGGAGAGTCATCATAGAGTGCATTTTTTAGTGTTTGCAGTTTTTGCCGAAAATTACGGAAAGCTGCTACTGCGCAATGAGATAAGCGTGGTCACTTGGCGCGTTCGGCAAACAATTTAAATTTCAATCATCAGTTTGTCTTCTATTGTGCCCTAAAAATTTAGTTCATGGATTCGAGCCCCATTATATCCACCATGTTCGTCCGTGCATGTTTTCCATCTTATTGAAGGAAGTGTGCAATTGCGAGATGCTGTGGGTATGAATAGGGCGTGCGCTAAAGTGCATTTTAGCTTCCACGTTACTGTTCCCACCCTATCACCTTCACCCTGCACTAAACCTAGCGCGCTGAAGACATCGGGGGAAAGTACGTGTTGACTAGCAGAATCGAAGAATTAGGGGTTACGACCTTGAAACAGGATCATGTTCGCACATTTTCGAAATTCTCGTGACGTCCCCCTTTTCGAGGGGTCTAGGTGCGACCCCGCGTTGCTAAAACAACCGCTGTTGAGCTGTAATCTTGAGGCATCAAATATCAGTAAAGTGATGGTCTTAAGCAGATGACGCTCTCTGGTGTGGTCGAAGCTAATAGCGATTTCTTCATCACCATCACTTTCATTTTCAACAGCGGATCCACCTCCATGCTCTGGAGACCGCAATTTCAGGAGCATCATGAAAAAGCACTTTATAGCAATTGTGATCACAAAGCAAATCGTGGATCTACAAGCCCCAATGGTGAGGTCACTCACTTGTCAGACCCCTTGCCATTCATGATCAAAACAGCGTGTAGAAGGGAATGAACGCGAGGATGCAGGAGTTTGTTCGAGCAATGTATCATGGCACTAGCACTTCACTTCACAGACACACATTTCTACTCGTAATCCCATTCCTTTTCAAATAGGACTGTCTCGATTACCACAGTGCTTTTTTGAGTGAAAAGAGATAGTGACTTGCCCTCAGCTAATAACCAAGACGCTCCTTCTGCGCCTACGAATTATTAGCTGGCCATCACGAGCTTCTACAGAAACATCTTGAAAGCTCACCTTGATTTTTCCCATAACGTAGTTGATGCCAGAAATTCCGTTGGTCTCCCACTCTTGCTCGGCATCAACGCAGCTTCGATAGAATCTACGGGCTTGCGTAATTGCTTGTGATGTCGAGCTTTCGTCTGAAGCTAGCAGCTCTGAAACGAAGTCATTCACAATTTTCGGACATAGAAAATGCTTCGTACCACTTTCTGTTAGTGTTGTTTTTTCCCTAACTTTGCATCCTCACTGATAAGGAGACAATACCGCTCACAGTATGTGAAAAGCGACGGCGATTGAAAGATTAATCCACACCAAATATTCGCACTGCCATAACTCCATTATGAATGAATAAAACGATAAAATTGGAACTCCTTTGGATACGCCTCCCTACGACGACTTCCACGATGTGCTACAGGTCGGTATTGGTTGAGTCGGTCACCAGCTTTACCAGCAACTGCGCAAGAATTTTGTTGCATACGGGGATGCAGGTGGGCGGCTCTTACATAACTTGGCTCTAAAATCGGTAAATTTTGCAAACAGAAACACTTTTTTCCTTTCAAATTTGCACTTTAGTGAAGTGTGTGACTAACGAATCGAATGGTGTTCTCAAGAACGTGTCATATTGTTCGTATAATGGCATAATTGCCAACTTCCACCTTAAAAAAATTATTTACAAAGAGGAAAGAAATGGTATTGAAATTCATACAGTTGTACTCAGCGCGATGAATGCTGCTCAAAAGCAAAAGTCGGGCTCAATAAGGTGGTACTATGGCGATTGAAAACTGAGTATAGAGATGTGAGGTAAAACGACAGTGGAGAAAAAACTGAGAAAAACCGTCGACAAGGTCGTTAACAAAATCCTCTTTCCCACTAGCAGTGAAGGAGGCTGACTTGGGCAAAAGGCACGTACAAACAAGTTTTCTTAAGATATCATTCGTTCTATCGGTTGATACAGCAATCAACCTTGCTGATTCACACGTTATGCCAGCCATGCACCACTTCAGGAGGTGGGCGGTCCCGGATTGACGAGGCGGTCCCGGATTGAGACCGACGGCCTCGAGGGCCTTACGAAGTTTTTCAGGGTGGGATGTTGCTGCAATGTGTGCAGCTACTCACGCACAACCTCCAGGCACAGGAATCACTCCTCTAGCGCGGCTGAGCCCGACCTTTGCCTTTAACCCATAACGGACGGCCAGTGTATTTTTCGCGTGCTCCACCATGTGGCGCACGCCGCCACCCAGGGTAGGGTTTATGTAGGCTTATGCGAACAGCAGGGTTAAGGCGGGGCTAAGGTAGGTGTCCGTGTCTCATCATCCAAAAGAAGAGATTGCCGTTGACGACAAGTTCGTAACCCGCTTTTCCGTTCCAAAACTAGGGTGCAAAGAATGAATGGAAGCTGTAGGTGACATTATTGAAAAATGCAAAACAACAACCCCGAGCAAGGATGTGGCTATATTTAGGGGGAGGGGTCTCAAGACGTGTGAACCATGGGTAAGCCACCCATCAAATAGTAAACTTAAGTAAATTAAGACAGAATGTATGTAAAATTTATCGTAGGTTTGTCAAAAATCAAGTCGTCCAGGTCCTGGGAAGATAGTTGTAGAAATTTCAAAATTCTCACAGCCTCTTGAAAGTTTCCTTGTTCCAGAGAAACTCGCTTCCTATCTTTTCCAAAAGTACTTCACCATTCTCCCCGAATACGACCCATCTTGAAAACCACTTCACTCCTCCATTGAACTTTTCCTGACGGATGCTCACTCTGAGCCACTGGCTTAATTCCTTTCCCAGACAGGGTCAACCGTCCGTTAGACAAAGTCCAACGCATGGCTCTCTAGCGTGTGAGAATAATGCCGAGAGTGAACGTACGCACGGAGACACAGACGGCTCGCGCAAGGCGAGTGCGAATGCCGGCGCGGAGAGCGGCCAACGTCGGTCCAACGTCGGTCCAGTGTCGGTCCAACGTAACGGTTGACCCTGTTCCCACACACGATGCTACTAATTATAGGGATGAAATAGTGTACACCCATAATGGGCGGAGTAATGGAGGATCGTGGAGGGCAATTCATCTTCACTATCTAGAATGCAAGGCCCTGGAATTCTCCCTCCATAGGAATCTAGGCTTTTCGATCTATCTAACCATCTAACCATCACCACCTTTCACCCATCCAATAATTAGGCTGAACTCCTGAACACTTTTCTGCCTCCCCCTCCTCAACCAGGTTTTGTAGGAAATCTCTTTCATAAGAAAATTGAAGGTATCTGTTGTAAAACCGAGGAAGAGGAAACGAAACCAACTAGAAAACAGGACTGACTTGGAGCCTTTTTCACGGCGTGGAAAGGGGAAGCTGGATAGCGAGATAAGCCCAGGCTGGGCAGCTGTTACGTTACAAGGCTTTTTACGCAGCTTCAAAATGTTTAACGACCCCTGTCCCTTCCGAGAGTATCGTAACGACCACTCCCCCCTACGTGTCTTTTACATAGTTTCGTGCACTCATCTGGTATGGGCCGTGACGACGTGGTCATGGGAGACAGGTAATCCTGTGGCGGCTTTCTCTCGCTCAGAGACTGAATGGGAGGCAATTATGAATTTGAAACATATTCTAGAATACTCTCCTAATTACATTAACCCTATGGTATGATAAGTATCGCAAAGATTTCTCGGGTCACAAATAAGCAACGCAAGTTTTTTTGAACTCACAAATCTCCTTCTTAAACGGAAATAATCTTGAATCTGCCGCAATGACGTTACGCTGTCGCTACAAACCTGCTCCTCGTTTCAAAAAGTCATATTTTCTTGAGAGCGCTCTGCATGAGATGGGTATACAAAAATCTAGAAACGTCCAATGTTTGCTTCATACCCCAATCTTTTTGACCCCTATGCAAGACTGTTCAACTTCAACAATTGCTATCATCACAGTGTAGGTCTGGATGTCTTGAAAGAAACCATTCTTGTCCTCGACCGTTCTATTTTGTCCTTCTAGATACTCAACTCCAGCCAAATTTTGCACTTTTCTCCTCACTTGGATTTGACAATCTACGAGGCGGAAGTTTTTTTCTTTTGGTAAGACTTTTTCGCCGGTGCTTGCTGGCGCATACGACCTATTTAGTAGCGAAAATCTCGGCTCTAGGACTGCGCCCCTTGAATCGCTTCCTGTGGGCGCATTCGCAGTTGGCAGTTTGAAAGTCTAATTCCTCTTTGGCCAAACTTCGCCACGGGATCGATCGTCAATCCATCGCTAATCCTAATAGGTTCCACGGCCTTAAACTTAAACTAAAAAACTAAAAGAACTAGGGTCATATCAGAATAAAGAAGCGTGGGTGACATATTGAAAAATGCAAAACAAAACGACTCCGAGCAGAGACTGTGGCTATGTTAGGAAAGGGTCCCTCTCGGACGTGATACCCATGGTAAGCCGCCCATCAAATAGTAAGACTTACGTAAAAACTAAACCATCGTGGGCGGGCCTCCGCGTCACGCATGTGTGGCGAAATGACCCGAGAGCTTCGCTCACCTGCACTCATTCTTTCTGCTCCTGTAGCTTTCTCTCCAAGCCGAGTTAATGAATATTTCATTGAACGCCCGCTTTTTGCTAGGGAAGCCCGCGCCCCCCACGGGCTCCCCCAGTGCACCATAACTAATAACCAATTCTTAATACCCAAATGTACGTGACAGCGGACAGAACAGACCACGATATAGATTACGATTGACCTAGCCTTGCTCCGCCTGCGATCGCTGATGCACCACTTGTAGTTAGGAAACCACGGAAAGCCAAGATACAGTACTCCCATAACTAACTGCTCACTATTGAATGGTTATAAACGCTTCCTTACGCCTCCTTCTTCTCCGGCGCCTAGCCGCGCTATTTCTCGCTCGCCTGTTCTCCTCTCCCCCCCCTTCCACTTCTACGCTGCCGCCGACGCGGCTGCCCTCTACCCATGCTAGAAGGGGCTGACGTGTGCTCGATCGGTATTTGTAGCCATTGGGTGTTCCAACTTCACGTCAGTAGAATAAACGGTCGACACAATGTATGAGCTACTTCTAAAAACGATCGCATCTTCGGTCCTCCTCCTCCGCCCCCCCCCTCCACCTCCTTTATAACCCTATCTCGGTCACGGCGCATGACAGCGCCATGCTCTCCTCGCCTTCTCCCTCACCGCTTCCCCCTACATTCTGCTCCCCGCTCCTTCTAGCGCCCTTTCCGTTCTTGCTCCTCCTCACCTCCTCCCCTCCACCCTCATGCCGTCTTGGTGATTTGTTATCGTTGTCCGGACGACATCACGACATCACACACATGGGTACCGACACACCGACACAAATCCAAACTCCGTTGATATAATAAGTGATATATAGCCATTTGGTCCGGCCCCCCACCGTCGGACCCTTCATCTTTCCTACGGACTTACGAGCATCTCCTCCTAAACTCTTTTCCTCACCCGTCTCCACCCCTACTGTCTCGCACGCATGCACGCATGCACACTGTAAATGACTGAAAGGGTACTAACTCCAGTGGAACGCATTCACTTCCCCAATGGAACTTTGAGGTGGGACCCCAGATATTCGAAGAGCCTCGAACGGCTTGATTATCAAATAGGGAAACAAAATTGCTAATAAAAAACATCCAACGAATGTTTGTGACAGTCAAAGTTGAGCTGGAGGTAAAGTATTACACTATCCTCAGAACTTCAAAGCCGCCGTGGAGTATGAGTGCTCTGCGAAATTTGCGCTCTGCGACTGTAGATGAGCTTATGGCCTCTCAGAGGAACAGAGAGGACCAGAAAGGCCGTTATGCAGTGTTAGTGCTTTACTCAGCCAACTTTTGACGCTCACATAACTTCCGGCAGGTATATTTTCAGTTTCCCAGTTCCATATGTTAACCAGCGTTTGAGAGCATATATGCGATATAATCTGGTCTCATCTCGAATTCCATGGAGTTGAATCCTTCCTCAAGATGTAGGTTTTATATAGCCGGCTGAGGTATTGTCGCCGGCAAAACCTCGACGTCCTGGATCATAACCGAATCTTTCAAAGCAATGCACTCTCCTCCCTCGCCTTTCCTCCTCGCCCCGCCATCTCGCTTTCTCACCCCCTTTCCTCTTGACTGCTCTGCCTTCTCCTCCCCCTTCCCCGCTCTCCCATTCCCGCCGGCTGCCACGTAACTAGCCATTTAGAATGAGCAATGAGTTTACCTGGTTCTATAGACCCTTGGGGTTGAGCACATCGCGCGTGGTTAACCTATTCGGACCTCCACGGTTTTGTAGCGGCTTGGTCGCAGACTGACAGAACGACACACACCGACAAACTGACACACCAAACTTCTGGTACGGTAGTAAACCTCTCTTAATTCCGAATTAAAGTGTCGAGATAAACTCACCCCAAAGTCCTGATTAGATGACTGGTCTGAAGCGCTTTTAAACACATTAAGTCGTGTCTAAAGGAAGCAGTCACGCTGGCTTCCATGCTGGATTTGCTATCCTCGCGTTATCAATCGATAAGGTGTGAGGCAGTAGTTGTTGGACGAGTGTAAGCCCATGGAAGATATGATACGACATAAGAAGGTGCGGCTGCTTGATAAGAGGTGCACTCCAGAATAACGGGACGATAACGATAACGGTATCATATCCAGCACGCTCTTATCGCACCCCTTTCCACATCGATAAGTCTTGGGTTTTGCTGAACTCGAGTGAATTTTGGCTCCTTATCACTCCGTTGATAAGGCGCCACTGCCACTGAACCTTCACGTTTCTAATATTGGGCAGGACCTCTGTCCACTCCAATACATAGCTTTCCTTACCGTTGCCATGAAAATTATCGTGACTGCTTCCTTTAACCCTTAGTTATCTCATTACCAAAAAAACCATTTTGATTAGTAGTTCCAGGGTTAACTAGCAAACCTAATTCGTAATTAGGCAGAGAAAAGAAACAGTGTGAGGTTGAGGAGGCGCAGACGCCACGTTGACCCTCGAGTAGAAAGTACTCCAAAGCACCTTTTACTGGAGGGTTAACGTGGCAAACGTGGCCTCTGCGCATCCTCAAACTCACACTATTTCGTTTCTCTGCCAGCTCGATTAATTCGAAACCAAGCCACTGATCCACTTGCGGCTGTAGCGCATAGGCTGCGGTCCGCTTCCCTATGCTTTCCTATGTTTCTCTCTCTCACTTGTTCTTCTCTCCGTTTTTTCATATTCATGCTTTGGTTTCTTAATTATCCTTGTTTCAGGCCTGTTGACGATTGCCAACTATTCGATACGAAGGAACTTCCTAGGGAAAGCGGCCGCACCCGAATCGTCAAGGAGACCGAAATTCAGCTTTGCTCTTCTTTATTTATTTTCATTTCTTTATTCTTTGTCGCGTTCGGTCCTAGTGAACCTTCTCCAGTTCGAAAGATATAGAGCTGGGGTCGCTATTACGAAGGACGACTTTTTTTGTTTTTCGTAGCGCGAAACTTCGCAGAAGTAACCTCCACCCATGACCAAGGGTGTGTCCAGGTTCTCACAACAAAAGAATTTTATATTGCAAAAATGGAAATCGCTTTTTGTAACAGCATCCCTTGTTCGAGTTATGAAGTTGCGTGACTACTTCAGCTTTCTGCTTGCGCTGCTCTGTCTGGCAAAAAAAATAGGAAAGCTGCCTCTGACAAGAAATGTGGATAATGTTGGTAATAGAAATGTGGGTAATGTGGATTATTTACCCACTTTTGCATTCTTCATACTCATGCTTCCCATTTCAGATTTCGTCTTCCTTTCTTCCCATCTTCCACATCTGTTTCGTAGATCTTATAGTGTGTTCATGTTGTGACGACGAGTTCGAATTACAGACAGTACAGATGATGGGAGACGGTTCGTGGGAGTTTTCCATCGTTAGGTAGGACTAGTTATTTCATGTACAGTTCCCACACTGGCTTCCTTCGCTCTAAATAGCTTCTGGAAAGCAGCAGTCGGTTCAATAGGTGGGAAATTTTATCAAAGCTTTCTTTCAGATACCCACGGGCCGAATTGGTCACGAAATTCCTGCTGGGACTGAGAGTGGATGACACAGTGCAGGTTGGAGTCATTCTAAATGTTTTATTACCCTGGCGATATCACTTCTCATTTCGTTTTTTCTACCTTTACTAAGCCATAGCTAAAGCTTTCTCTCACGCACGTTTTCGCCTTCCACCACCATCCCTGCCTTCTTCGTGTGCCCAAGATGTGCCCCTTCTAATGGCTGGACCAAGCCGGATTAAGCGATAGAGCGGTTATATTCAAGAATGGTTTTGTTTTTTCCTCGCTTCGAAATGTCACACGTTTCCATTTAGATTTATACCTGGGTCATATGGAAAAGAGTTTTCCTATTTCCTTTTTTTTCTAAAAGTTGGCATTTGCTCTCACTTTGAAGAAATTTTGTCATGTAAGATTTCGTTTGGGATATTGGCATTACATATTATTTACTGACTAGAATATATTTTCCTTTGTCTTCCCTTCTTCGTTTTACTAGCCCAGAGAGTTCTTTATATGTTTTCTAGAGGTAGACGATTTCAATTTAATCAGTCTCATGTACTTCCGTTTCCCTATAATCTACTGCGTACTGCATGTCATTTCCATACCACTCATCTGAATCTCCTGAGGAAGCTCTATGACCTTAACATGAATCCATTTCATACTCTTACTGATTCGAATTAGGTTGAAGTCATTTCTGTCTTCTTAAACATGATGTTGTGGACCCTGTGAAGTGTTTTGTTAAATAAGAACTCACTTTGAGCATTGTAAGAGCTATGCGTGGCATGGGGTAAGCCAAATAATCAATATCTAACTTGGAGTTGGCTTTTCCCCGCAATGCTTTGATCACGACGGCTGATTACAGGAGGCGGAGCCGTACAAGAGACTATGCTGCGAGGCTTCTGGAGAGAGGGACGAGGACGCACCTTGGAGAACGGACGACTTCCCCACCAGCCTCAGGCCCACCATCTTCTGCTGCCAGATACCTCATTTCCCAGGTGGCTTTCATCGGCATATTCTCTAGACACGACGTCGCCTTTATTGTGATTTGTTACTGTTTAGCTGAGTGTATTCCAGATAAATCTATTCCTGTAGTCCGGTAACTTATCTCGAATATTAAGTGTATACGATTTCAACAGTCATATAGCGGAAGTTTTGTCATGGATGAAGATGTGTCCGGCCATTCGCCGATTTCCCAGTTCTACGTGTCCAGCAAAATGTGGGTTGGGCTAAGTGCGAGAATAGTCTGTAGAATACAATCCTTCTCATCGATGGTCATAACTAGCCGGAAAAGGTGGGTTTTCTATCACGAGCATAACCTAATGCAGGCCTACCTCCTCACTGCCGCCCTCCTAAACCCAGAAACAAAAAGCTGTCATGAAGCGACCAAGTCAAGATCTGAAGTCTAATTGAGCTCTACATCACACGGAAGAGATGGCATGTCGCTCAATATATATAAATTATATATTATTATGAATCGCGAACCTCGTTTTCAGAAAAGTATGTTGCTCATTGTAAACTGCCCTTGATTCTGTATTTAATATGTGAATTCGGTAAAATTTCATTATCTACTAGCTACACCAGATCAAAAATAAAACTTCCCAAACATTTGACCGCTACTGTATAGTTGTATTGTAGGACTACATACTAACAAACCTCTTTGTGCTTTTTCATACTTCTTGGCTAATTTGGAGAATGGTGATATTTGTGCCCAGCTTAATGGTGCTTCAGGAGTATTGGCTATCCAACTTCCGCATGCAAACTGGTAGAAATCTTCACATGGATCTATCTGAATTGTTCCTTCAACCTTTGAAAGGGGGATTGGCAAACTTGCATTCAATTTGAAACATCAAGTTCAAGGGCTTCTGAGAATTTCAAATATCATAATGGAAGAAGCAATGGAGGCGTTTTTTCAAGCTGTTTTCGAAATACTGTTCTGCTATATTACCAACCACAGAAGTTAATTATGCGAACGCACCTTGTAATTTACCGAGAACTCCAAGTGATCAAGGAGCTCAGAAGAAGTGGTAGCACTGCCAGATTGTGTTGTTTGGTGACACGAGTAATTAAAATTGAAACTGTGGGCGCAGGGACCATTGATGAGATATACGAAGAGAATCCTGAATTTTGATAAAGCTCCGCCTACTGAATTGCTAGGTAGCTAGAATGAGGGAGCCTTATATGCCAGTTTTTTGTTCCTTTTTGCCATAAACTAAGCTCTTTAGCTGTATGAAATAGTTGAGATTTGCTCTCAAATCTGGCAAACAGGATTACTAGCAGTAAATTACTTACGACATCTTCAAATGCGGAGGCATGTTGACTCTCTAACCGACTCTAGTCGAGGGATGGCAACTCAGTAAACCCGGGGGCATGGTCCTGTCTCACAGACTAGAAGTCGTGGGACCGATCCCTCGAAAAGTTTACTCTGCATCGAATTGCGGTAACATAACTAGGAAGAGTCCTGACATCGCTTGTCCAATGTGCTTCGGCATAGCCACCGGTACGAAGAATTTGGGGGCACTTAATGACGGATTTGAGACATGCATCCTGACTGCTCTAGGCCCTCTAGCGCAAGCGCTAGGCCATTTCGCTTCGAGCGAGTGTGATATTCGTAATCAGGGAGTTAGACTTCCCTTTAGACGAGCTTTTGCCAAATCTTAAATTCTGACCCAACCATGAAAGTTCGGGCGGTCGCTTAACTCACCACCTATTCATCAATCCATCACATAAGGTTGGTATAAGATTGGATTGGTCTTCTAAGCGTACTTTAGAGGACAAAAATAATGTCAAGCTGGTCCGTCTGTCATCCTAGGATCTGCAAGGTTTATTTTCAAATACGACCGCCTCTCCCCCACTTCCCCATCGTCCATGACCGTTCAACCTTAAAATTGGAGCTTGGAGAGGGATAATCTCATCACTGCTCCTCTTCTCAACCGGGTCATGACTTCAGATTCGGATTGTTTCTAAGGGTAATTTTTCTTCTACCCAAGATATACCCACTTGCCAACAAAAGCTTAACACCTGCACTACGGACACCACGGGCAGTCATGGGCAAGTAGTGCTCAAACTTGAGTGGATCTGTTTCCAAACTCTTCAGAGGTGTAACTTTAGATGACTTTTGTTCTTCTCGAACATGGGCTTTCCTGGTTGAGATTATGTGGCTCTTGAAAAGTATCGTGGGGATTGACCTCGATTTGCAAGCTAAGAACTTTGAACGACTTCAGGCCCTGAAGACGACGACGTTCGGAACACCGACCGAATAAAGGTCTTTCATCGTAACAACCAGAACAACAACATCAAGCATTCAAAAGGGTGTTAACCCTTTCCGGACCGCCTGACACACATGGTGTGTCAGGAACTTCAAGAGCTGATTTTTTCAAGAGTTTGGTTTTTCGATAAAATTTCTTATGTTGTTACATACCTATGTAACAGACTCATGCCATATGTATGAAAAAACCTAGCCTTTAGGTTCAATCTAGGTTCTAAAATAACCATAGAGTAAATGGACTTCCGCTTTGGGCTCAAAGAGAACAGTTGTAGTTCGCTTGAAAACACTTAAAAACGAAGAATTTGTGAAATATCCTGCTCGTCGTATCTGATTCTTATGGATCCAATCGTTTTGGGCACGTTCGGACTTCCCTTTTCTCCATACCAACTGGTTTGAACGATTTTCGTCCCTTTTTATGGCCCTTTCCTTTTTTTTGCAAAACGGTTTTCTGTCAAATTAATCTTATATATTCTTCGAGACATGACAAAGACATAACGAGACAAAAATATGGCTTTAGTGGGAATACAGATTAAGTATATGATATTTGTGCTTGCCGCGCAGCATGCGGCCGTGAGCGCAAAAAGTGCGCGGTCCGGAAGGGGTTAAAAAACAAAACACCAAACTACTGAACGGACCGAACCACTTGGTTGGAGTGCTATCAGCTGCGCCACCGAAGCTAAGTGTGACTCTTAGTGACGTTTACAATGCAGCCTACGTGTGATTGCAAGTAAGGCGCTGAAAAGTGATGACGGACAAAAACCCTCCGTAACTACTTGCAGGGAAGAGATGAGCAGATAAGGAGAGCAGATTGAGCTTAAGACCTAATGATGCGCCAATATACACTCATTTGACCGAGTTGACATAATCGCCTTTCCTGGTAAGCAACAAGTACAAACTAAAAGAATCCGATGAACATCTGAACATAGACAAATACTCATTCCAATCCCTCCCTTTCCTGCCAACGGTGACTTCGCCGTCAAAGCCAGCTGGCAGTGGCGATTCTCGGGTAAGAACCAACGCGAAGATAGCCACCGTCAACGTCCAAAGCTTGTACTCTCAACGCGATTCGCTGACCTGGGAGCCAATGTCAACAACGTGAAATTTGCTGTGCCCGTTTTGTCCGAAACTCGAGGACCATACTGCGAGTGCTCTCATCCTGGATCTGGTTTTGTGTTGTACAATAGCGGACGTTGTGACAATGTTCCCACGTATGCTGGTGTAGGTGCTGTATATGTCGTCACTCATGAACAAGAAGCTTGTCAATGTACATTACATAAGCGGTCGCGTAATACGATCCGAATTTCCTGGCCGCGTCATAGTTAGCGACTCGGGAGATTGGGATAGTAGGCGATAGGATATCAGAATAGTTGTAGATTAGGAGATTGCGCTGACAGAATTGGATACGTATCGATTGAAACCGCAGGAGAATAGTAGATTAGGGGATTTAAATCGAAGAGATCAATACATATCTAATCTTGTCAGCGCTCCTACTTTACTGCTATCCTAAGCTACATATGTTATTGTCGCGTACTATCCTAACCTCCGGACGCGAAATATGAACACGGCCTTGTGAAGGGAATACCTCTTAGACGCATTCAAGGGCTCGACTTCTGCGGCACCAAGAAGATGTGTTCAAGCGATTCCTGGGCGAAATAGAAGCTGCAAGAGTGAGCACAAAAGCATATCAATGCCAGAAATCAGTTGTGGCCATTCGATGCAGACCAGACTCGGTGGGATGTACGCTAATGAAATGGAAACCTTATGGGAGCGGATCAGTTGGACGACCACGTTTGCGATGGTAAGGTGTTTGCGGGAGCAGAGTGAGCTTCCGAATCGTTCCGTTCTAAATCATGACCCATTCTCTGATCATGTAATATGAATAACGGAAATAAGTTGTAGATAAACGTGCACAAATACTTGGCAAAACAGCCATTTAGCTGAGCCATTTGACATTTATTATATCATGCACCCAAATCATTAGGAGAAGTGTATCACATGGCCGTCGGTCACCAATGCGAATAGCCCAAAGCTTCTGCAGCATTTTCTATTTCGTTGCATATACTTTCTCAGACTGAAAACACTCGCATAGGATGTTGAGTTGTAGCGCTGATGTGAATCATTCGCTCGATATTCACTCTCGCTGACACGGTTTAGTGCTGTGCTTTAGTGGTGATATCCATATGTTAGGATTGGGAATTATCCAGAAGTTTAGCCGACCACCTTACGCTGAGAGTCTTAGAAGCAGACCGATGCGAACAACTACATTAATCGCGATTTCAGAAGACGACATCTTTCGGCTAAAAAAAATCTTTCACGAGTGGTCGCTTTTTCATAATGTCTTTAATATTTATTGAAATGAGGAGATTCCCACTTTTCTCTGCAGAGTCCAGTGATTTCAAGAACCGAAATCACTGTACCCGGTCAACAGCTAATTTTCGAGCCTTTGGCATATCCCACTTCTCGTGGATTCTTGCCTCTCTTCGCCTTTTTTTCTTCTTCACGCCTATCTCGCTTGATGGGGGGGGACTGCTTTCTGATATATTGACACCACTTTTCCTTGTGCAATTTATCAGTAATGGGAACTACACCAAAGCGTTCTCGTATGACATCACTGCGAAAGCGATACAATTGCGTGACATCAGCCGTCAGCGCAGCATCTCCGAATTCCTGCCTCTATAAAATTATATTTTCTCTAAAATGGTGCTCCTGTGTCATTGTGGTCGGTTTCGGACAACGCTCTTTTTCTTCTTCTCCCTAGTGTTACTCCAGCGCGTTTCAGGTTTTATCGGCCGTCGCCACGTCGGTTTGTCCACATCACCTTCGATCCTTGCTCCAGAGAGGTTCTTCTTGATGAGTCTCCCGATTCTACGTTGCTCCCAAGGTATTAGAAGTCCTCAGCTTTTCAGAGTTTTTTTTTCGATGTCTATCTACTATGGGCTCCGTATCCTTTCCAGAGCTCAGAGAAGTGGTCTTCCTGACATTCAGCAGGACTCCAGCACTTCCTGCCATTTCTGCACCTTGTTCTGTAGTTTCTCTCTGCTATTCGATAAGGGCAACGTCATCAGCGTAGAGGATGGTTCCTTGTGGCCCTCCCATCAGGAACTTCAATGTGACATCTAGTGTTAGAAGGAAGAGGAAGGGACTCAAAGCTGTCAAAGCCTATCACCGCCCGCCACATCGTACATATCTTTCATCAGAGTGATTAGGTGTTCTGCAATGTTCCATTCCCGTAACACCTAGTTGAACCGGTGGCTATCTCGCGTTGGTTCTTTACCTCGAGAATCGCTACTGTCCGAGCGTGGCTTTGACGCGAATCACCGTTGGCAGGAAAGGAGGATTGGAATGATATTTGTCTTGCCCCGGGGGCATCGGTCCTGTCTTACAGACTCGAAGTCGTGGGACCGATCCCTCGAAAAGTTTACTCTGCCATCGAATTGCGGTAACATAACTAGAAAGACGTCCTGACATCGCTTGTCCAATGTGCTTCGGCCATAGGCACCGGTAACGAAGAATTGGGGGCACTTAATGACGGTATTTGAGACATGCATCCTGACTGCTCTAGGACCTCTAGCGCAAGCGCTAGCGCCATTTCGCTTCGGAACGAGTGTGATATTCGTAATCAGAGTCTAACTTCGCCTTTAGACGAGCTTTTGCCACATCTTAAATTGCTGACCACAACCATGAAAAGTTCGGGCGTCTCGCGTAACTCCACCACCTATCATCAATCCATCAACATAAGGTTCGGTAATATTGGATTGGTCTTCTAAGCGTAACGTTTAGAGGACAAAAATAGATGTCAAGCTGGTCCGTCTGTCATTCCTAGGATCTGCCAAGGCTATTTCAAATACGACGCCTCTCCCCCACTTTCGCCATCGTCCATCGACCGTTCAACCTTAAAATTGGAGCTTGGAGAGGGATAATCTCATCACATCTGCTCACTCTTCTCATCCGCGTCAAGCGACTTCAGATTCGATTGTCTAAGGGTAAATTTTTCTTCTACCCAAAGAGTATAACCCACTTGCCAACAAAGCTTAACACCTGCACTACGAGAACCACGGCAGTCATGGGCAAGTATTTGTTTTTTATGGTTTTTTTTTAGTGCTCAAACTTGATGGATCTGTTTCCAAACTCGTTCAGAGTGTAACTTTAGATGACTTTTGTTCTTCTCGAACATGGGCTTTCCTATTGAGATTATGTGGCTCTTTGAAAGTAGCGTGGGGATTGACCTCGATTTGCAAGCTAAGAACTTTTGAAACGACTTCAGGCCCTGAGACGACAACGTTCGGACGCCGACCGAATAAAGGTCTTTCATCGTAACAACCCAAGAACAACAACATCAAGCATTCAAAAGGGTGTTAACCCTTTCCGGACCGCCTTCCGAACTTCAAGAGCTTGCTTTTCAAGAGTTGGTTTCTCGATCTAAAATTTCTTATGTTGTTTCATACCTATGTAAACAGACTCATGCCATATGTTATGAAAAAACCTAGCCTCAGGTTCAATCTAATGTTGCTTAAATAAACCATAGAGTAAATGGACTTCCGCTTTGGGTCAAAGAAACAGTTGTAAGTTCGCTTTGAAAACACTTAAAAATGAAGAATTTTGCGAAATACATCCTGCTCGTCGTATCTGATTCTTATTGGATCCAATCGTTTTGTGCACGTTCTACTTCCCTTTTCTCCATCCAACTTATTTGAAGCGATTTTCGTCCCTTTTATGGCCCTTTCCTTTTTTTGCAAAACGGTTTTCTGTCAAATTAAATCTTATATATTCCTTCGAGACATGACAAAGACATAAACGAGACCAAAATAATGGCTTTAGTGGAATACAGATTCAGATATGATATTTGTGCGTCGCGCGCAGCATGCGGCCGGAGCGCAAACATTGCGCGTCCGAAAGGGTATAAAAAACAAAACACCCAAACTACTGAAGGGACCGAACCACTTGGTTGAGTGCTATCATGCTGCGCCACCGAAGCTAAGTGTGACTCTTAGTGTCGTTACAATGCAGCCTACGTGTGATTGCAAGTAAGGCGCTGAAAAGTGATGACGGACAAAACCCTCCGTAACTACTTCAGGGAAGAGATGAGGCAGATAAGGAGGCAGATTGAGCTAAGACCTAATGATGCGCCAATATACACTCATTTGACCGAGTTGACATAATCGCTCTTTCTGTAAGCAACAAGTACAAAACTAAAAGAATCCGATGATCACTCATAGACAAATACTCATTCCAATCCCTCCCTTTCCTGCCAACGGTGACTTCGCCGTCAAAGCCAGCTGCAGTAGCGATTCTCGGTAAGAACCAACGCGAAATAGCCACCGTTCAACGTCCAAAGCTTGTACTCTCAACGCGACTCGCTGACCTGGGAGCCAATGTCAAGAACGTGAAAATTTGCTGTGCCCGTTTTGCCCGAAACTCGAGACCATATTCGAGAGTGCTCTCATCCTGGATCTGTTTGTGTTTACAATAGCGGACGTTGTGACAATTGTTCCCACGTATGCTGGTGTAAGGTGCTGTATATGTCGTCACTCATGAACAAGAAGCTTGTCAATGTACATTACATAAGCGCCGCGTAATACGATCCGAATTTCCTGCCGCGTCATAGTAGCGACTCGGGAGATTGGATAGTAGGCGATAGGATATCAGAATAGTTGTAGATTAGGAGATGCGCTGACAGAATTGGATACGTATCGATTGAAACCGCAGGAGAATAGTAGATTAGGGGATTTAAATCGAAGAGATCAATACATATCTATCTTGTCAGCGCTCCTACTTTACTGCTATCCTAAGCTACATATGTTATGTCGCGGTACTATCCTAACCTCGGACGCGAAATATGAACACGGCCTTGTGAAGGATACCTCTTAGACGCATTCAAGCTTCGACTTCTGCGGCACCAAGAAGATGTGTTCAAGCGATTCCTCGCAAAATAGAAGCTGCAAGAGGAGCACAAAAGCATATCAATGCCAGAAATCAGCTTAGTGGCATTCGATGCAGACCAGACTCCGGTGGGATGTACGCTAATGAAATAGGAAACCTTATGGAGCGGATCAGTTGGACGACCACGTTTGCGATGGTAAGGTGTTGTCGGGAGCAGAGTGAGCTTCCGTATCGTTCCGTTCTAAATCATGACCTCATTCCTGATCATGTCAATA